CATTTAAATCTCGCAATAATCTGCGAAAAGTCTCATTCGTTAATCTATTATTATTTATTTAATCCCATTATGTCCATTAGATTTGTTGAGATATAATCTCTCACAAATATTGAATATATTTCTCATCAAAATAATTTGAAATTCATTCATTACCTTTGTATCACTGACAAAATATGTAATAAATGTGAATAAGATGAATTGCTCGTATGTTTTTTTTTTTATTAAAGATCTAGTTGTATAGAAATTCAAATAAATGATCCTCTTTCGCTCAAGACTTCATAATTCCTTCTCTCCCTCTCCTTTATGATCAACTAATTTACAAATTAAGACAATAAGAAGTTGTATGAACGAAAATGGGATAATCAAGCGGATGAGTGAATGCAAAGGAGGTTTCATGTTGGATTTAAGATTGGGAACGCATCCCTGTTATCGACTGTTTCTATGGTAATAGATGAAAATTTCTTTACCCACAGAGACGGCCTCTCGATTGGTTCATGCGCACCACCGCTATTAATCTCCTTTCTAACAGTTCCCATAAGCCTGAGCAATCTCCCCTATTATCTCTGGCTGAGTCTCTTTAGTAATCCCTCCTCAGTGGTGGGTACATTTTTTGGTCCCGCCACAAAGCCCAGCGTTCGTACTCCTTCCCTTCTATATATTCTCCATGGGTGGCCCAAAAACAGAAAACATTGTATTCTCGCAGATTTAGTTGATCAAATTTTTTATGTGCAGAAGTGATATGAAGACAGCTTTTATTGCTGTATTATTGGTGAGTTCGCAATTCTTAGCATTCAACATTTGTTGAAATTTCATTTCACATTTTCTTCTTCTTTTAATTAGAAGTAGAATTTCCCTGCCCTAACTAGTCCTAATTTATTTTCATCTTATATGAAATTTAGGAAATATAATAACAGTGTTTTATTGTTCCAAACGTTCTGAACCTAACGGCAATTACCCAATTTTTGTAGGTAAATGCAACTCTTGGCACATATGAGCGATTGCATTACGTTAGTGACAATGTTGTCGGTGGTTCTTACAAATATTATAGTCTGATGTACGAGGGAATAATAAAAATAATTTTGCTTTCTCAGTAAGGATCTAATAGTTTAGCCCAACAGTGTAGATATATACAAACAATCTAATCTGTATATTTTATCAATAGCAAAGGAGACGCAGATTTATACGTATCCCAGACAATGAGCAAGCCAACATATGAACCAGATAATTACTGTTTACAATCAACAACGTGCGGTGAAGATCATATAATAATACCTCACACGTAAATAGTTCAATATATATCACCTATTATTACCCCCAAATCCACATTTTAAAGATTTAATACTATATTAACTTTCTCATTCAAAATTGTGTAAAATTGACTGATTTTCATGGTTAATCTCTTTTCATATTACATCAAGTTTCACAAGACCCGTGAGTATAGGAATTTACGGTCACCCTGCCCACGAATCCAGCCAATATGATCTTCTAGTGTGCCAGATAGTCCTTGCTGGTGACGAAGTATTCGATGAAGATATTTCGACAAATGGTTTAGAGGAAAAGACATTAAAGAAAAATAACAAAACGTCGTTCATCCTCGCAATCTTGTGGGCGCTATTGGACCAATTTATTCACGTACTATTCTAACAATGTTGGAGTATGAGAATCAGATGTTCCTGGAGGCTCTGCAGGATGATGGTCTCTTGATATCAGCAAAAGGACTGGGACTGGAAGCTGTTTTCACAAATATATTGAAGGTTTACTCGGACCCCGGAAACCTCGTGATTGTCTTAGGGATGACTGATCATTATGAGCAATTTTTTATACATAAATTAAAGGAAATGAATGTGAAGCCATTGCCCAAAGTGATGACTGCGCAAATTTCATCAGCAGAGAGAGAGATACTGTATCTCGAGGGTGGAGTTCTATTCCTGTCCGGACGGATTTTCGTCGTTGATTTATTGAAACACAGAGTTCCGTTGGATTTAGTAACTGGGATTTTGGTGTGGAGGGCACATGGGATCATGAATTTGTATCAAGAAGCCTTCTGTCTCCGATTGTACAGGCAAAATAACAAAACTGGCTTTATTAAAGCTTTCACAAACTCGGCCTTGACTTTTACAGTCGGTTTTGAACCAGTTGAACACGTTATGAAGACTTTGTTCGTTAAACATCTGTTCCTTTGGCCGAGGTTTCATACTACTGTTACAAGTAGCTTGTCTGCCTGCAAGGTAATTCATGAAATACATTTATTCTGCATTTATTCTAAAGGGTTATGAGAAAATGTCAGTAATAATGTGTAGATAATGTGAAAAATATTCTAAGTAAGAGTAGAAGTTTTAGACTGTACAGGGCGTTTCAGTTGAAAGACTACTGCTCGATATCTTTTATAGGAAGGGAGAGAATACAAAATCCTTCAAATGAAAGTTGTAGGGCTCGAAGGGAGAAATTAAATCCTGATGGCTCATATTTCCATGTTGCAAGCATAAAGTCATTTTTTTTAAATAACAATATTTTTATTCACCTTAATATTGTACATCTTCTCGAGATGAATTTAACCATATCGTATTTGATGATATCGATTTTCCAGGGAATTCAAACTACTAAATCAAAATGACCCTGAAGTTGGCGAGAAAGCGCAGCGAGAATAGTGCGGGGCCCTGCGCCTCGATCTCTTACGGCACTGACTAATGTTCGCCCACTCTGAGGGTGTTCTCTTACATTCCCAATGCTTATGAAAGGACATAAATATTTTCGACATGATTATTCGTTTATGGAACTTAATTTTTTTTATGAATTAACATTACTCAATTGATTTGACATTTGACGTGGGTTCACCCTAAGGGTGGGGGGACTCGAAAAATAACACCATTGGGCGGCGCCATCATTTTTTGACAACTCAACTCTATTTTTTATCAATGAACATTACTCAATTAATTTGATTTTTGACGTGGGTTCACCCTAGGGGTGGGGGGACTCCAAAAATGGCCTCATTAGACGGCGCCATGATTTTTTGACAGGTCAACGCAATTTTTTCATCAATTGACATTACTCAATTAATTTGATTTTTGACGTGGGTTCACCCTAGGGGTGGGGGGACTCCAAAAATGGCCTCATTAGGCGGCGCCATGAATTTTTGACAGGTCAACGCAATTTTTTCATCAATTGACATTACTCAATTAATTTGATTTTTGACGTGGGTTCACCCTAGGGGTGGGGGGACTCAAAAAATGGTACCATCAGGCGGCGCCATCATTTTTTGACAAGTCAACTCTATTTTTTATCAATGAACATTACTCAATTAATTTGACCTTTGATGTGGGTTCACACTAGGGGTGGGGGGACTCGAAAAATAACACCATTGGGTGGGTTCACCCTAGGGGTGGGGGGACTCAACAAATGGTACCATCAGGCGGCGCCATCATTTTTTGATAAGTCAACTCAATTTTTTCATCAATGAACATTACTCAATTGATTTGACCTTTGGTGTGGGTTCACCCTAGGGGTGGGGGGACTCAAAAAATGGCCTCATTAGACGGCGCCATGATTTTTTGACAAATCAACGCAATTTTTTCATCAATTAACATTACTTAATTAATTTGACCTTTGACGTGGGTTCACACTAGGGGTGGGGGGACTCGAAAAATAACACCATTGGGCGGCGCCATCATTTTTTGACAAGTCAACTCAATTTTCTTATCAATTAACATTACTCAATTGATTTGACCTTTGACGTGGGTTCACACTAAGGGTGGGGGGACTCGAAAAATAACACCATTGGACGGCGCCATAATTTTTCGACAAGTCAACTCAATTTTTTTATCAATTAACATTTCTCAATTGATTTGACCTTTGACGTGGGTTCACACTAAGGGTGGGGGGACTCGAAAAATAACACCATTGGACGGCGCCATAATTTTTCGACAAGTCAACTCAATTTTTTTATCAATTAACATTTCTCAATTGATTTGACCTTTGACGTGGGTTCACACTAAGGGTGGGGGGACTCGAAAAATAACACCATTGGACGGCGCCATAATTTTTCGACAAGTCAACTCAATTTTTTTATCAATTAACATTTCTCAATTGATTTGACCTTTGACGTGGGTTCACACTAAGGGTGGGGGGACTCGAAAAATAACACCATTGGACGGCGCCATAATTTTTCGACAAGTCAACTCAATTTTTTTATCAATTAACATTTCTCAATTGATTTGACCTTTGACGTGGGTTCACCCTAAGGGTCGGGGGACTCAAAAAATGGCCTCATTAGGCGGCGCCACAAGTTTTTGACCAGTCAACTCTATTTTTTTATCAATTAACATTACTCAATTCATTTGACCTTTGACGTGGGTTCACCCTAGGNGACTCAATTTTCTTATCAATCAACATTACTTAATTGATTTGACCTTTGACGTGGGTTAGCCGTAAGGGTGGGGGGACACAAAAAATGGCGCCATCAGGCGGCGCCATGATTCTTTGACAAGTCAACTCTATTTTTTTATCAATTAACATTTTTCAATTGATTTGACCTTCGGCGTGGGTTCACCCTCGGGGTGGGGGGACTCCAAAAATGGCCTCATTAGGCGGCGCCATGATTTTTTGACAGGTCAGCGCAATTTTTTCATCAATTAACATTACTCAATTAATTTGATTTTTGACGTGGGTTCACCCTAGGGGTGGGGGGACTCAAAAAATGGTACCATCAGGCGGCGCCATCATTTTTTGACAAGTCAACTCTATTTTTTTATCAATTAACATTACTCAATTGATTTGACCTTTGACGTGGGTTCACCCTAGGGGTGGGGGGACTAAAAAAATGGTACCATCAGGCGGCGCCATCATTTTTTGACATGTCAACTCTATTTTTTTATCAATCAACATTACTCAATTGATTTGACCTTTAACGTAGGTTCACACCAGGGGTGGATGACTCTACAAATAACACCGTTAGGCGGCGCCATGATTTTTTGACAATTCAACTCAATTTTTCTATTAATTAACATTGCTCAATTGATTTGACCTTTAACGTAGGTTCACACCAGGGGTGGATGACTCTACAAATAACACCGTTAGGCGGCGCCATGATTTTTTGACAATTCAACTCAATTTTTCTATTAATTAACATTGCTCAATTGATTTGACCTTTAACGTAGGTTCACACCAGGGGTGGATGACTCTACAAATAACACCGTTAGGCGGCGCCATGATTTTTTGACAATTCAACTCAATTTTTCTATTAATTAACATTGCTCAATTGATTTGACCATTGGCGGGGTTCACACCAGGGGTGGAGGGACTCCAATTGCCGCTCGATGACGCCATTTTTTTCTTTCCCCCACCCTTAGGGTGGACTCACGTCAAAGGTCAAATCAATTGAGTAATGTTAATTGATTAAAAAATAGAGTTGACTTGTCAAAAAATCATGACGCCGCCTGATAGTGCCATTTTTTAAGTCCCCCCACCCCGAGGGTGAACCCACGCCGAAGGTCAAATCAATTGAGAAATGTTAATTGATAAAAAAATTGAGTTGACTTGTCAAAGAATCATGGCGCCGCCCAATGGTGTTATTTTTCGAGTCTCCCCACCACTAGTGTGAACCCACGTCAAAGGTCAAATTAATTAAGTAATGTTAATTGATGAAAAAATTGCGTTGACTTGTCAAAAAATCATGGAGCCGCCTAATGAGGCCATTTTTTGAGTCCCCCCACCCTTAGGGCGAACCCACGTCAAAGGTCAAATTAATTAAGTAATGTTAATTGATGAAAAAATTGCGTTGACTTGTCAAAAAATCATGGAGCCGCCTAATGAGGCCATTTTTTGAGTCCACCCACCCCTAGGGTGAACCCACACCAAAGGTCAAATCAATTGAGTAATGTTCATTGATAAAAAAATTGAGTTGACTTGTCAAAAAATGATGGCGCCACCCAATGGTGTTATTTTTTGAGTCCCCCCACCCCTAGTGTGAACCCACGTTAAAGGTCAAATTAATTGAGTAATGTTAATTGATGAAAAAATTGCGTTGACCTGTCAAAAAATCATGGCGCCGCCTAATGAGGCCATTTTTTGAGTCCCCCCCCCCCTAGTGTGAACCCACGTTAAAGGTCAAATTAATTGAGTAATGTTAATTGATGAAAAAATTGCGTTGACCTGTCAAAAAATCATGGCGCCGCCTAATGAGGCCATTTTTTGAGTCCCTCCACCCCTAGGGTGAACCCGCGCCAAAGGTCAAATCAATTGAGTAATGTTCATTGATAAAAAAATTGAGTCGACTTGGCAAAAAATTATGGCGCCGCCTAATGGTGTTATTTGTAGAGTCCCCCCACCCCTGGTGTGAACCCACGTTAAAGATCAAATTAATTGAGTAATGTTAATTGATGAAAAAATTGCGTTGACCTGTCAAAAAATCATGGCGCCGCCTAATGAGGCCATTTTTTGAGTCCCCCCACCCCTAGGGTGAACCCACGCCAAAGGTCAAATCAGTTGAGTAATGTTCATTGATAAAAAATAGAGTTGACTTGTCAAAAAATGATGGCGCCGCCTGATGGTACCATTTGTTGAGTCCCCCCACCCCTAGGGTGAACCCGCGTCAAAAATCAAATCAATTGAGTAATGTTAATTGATGAAAAAATTGCGTTGACCTGTCAAAAAATCATGGCGCCGCCTAATGAAGTCATTTTTTGAGTCCCCCCACCCCGAGGGTGAACCCACGCCGAAGGTCAAATCAATTGAGTAATGTTAATTGATAAATAAATTGAGTTGACTTGTCAAAAAATGATGGCGCCACCCAATGGTGTTATTTTTTGAGTCCCCCCACCCCTAGGGTGAACCCGCGTCAAAAATCAAATCAATTGAGTAATGTTAATTGATAAATAAATTGAGTTGACTTGTCAAAAAATGATGGCGCCACCCAATGGTGTTATTTTTCGAGTCCCCCCCCCCCGAGGGTGAACCCACGCCGAAGGTCAAATCAATTGAGAAATGTTAATTGATAAATAAATTGAGTTGACTTGTCAAAGAATCATGGCGCCGCCCACTGGTATTATTTTTCGAGTCTCCCCACCCCTAGTGTGAACCCACGCCAAAGGTCAAATCAATTGAGTAATGTTAATTGATNCCCCCCCCCCGTAGGATGAACCCACGTCAAATGTAAAATCGATTGAATAATGTTAATTCATAGAAAAATTAAGTTGCATAAACAAATAATCAAGTCGAAAATATTTATGTCCTT